AATCTGTGATCCAGCCATTCTATTTGTAATTTCCCAAATGCACATGATGCTTTCTCAAGCTTTTGGGCCTTGTAAATGACTTTCCCTCTCATCATATCTTCTCTCTGCCCCAGTAGTATCCCTCTCTACCTTGTGGATTCTTACTTAAATTCTAAGACTTGGCTCAAGAACTTCTCCTGTGTGAAAATTTTCTGAGATACACAAATATTCACACTTGCCGCCTGAGTAGGTGCCGCCTGTTGTGTTCACATAGAGCTCCATGCAAATATTGTAAAAACATTGATTACATATAATAAATACTTGTGGTGCATGTTGCCCCCCCAACTATATTCTCTGAGTTCCTTGGCAGTAACTACAGTTTTTCATTCGCCTTTGTATTCCCAAAATTTAACAGTGACTGCTCAGTGGAAGTACACCATAAGGTTTTTTCTTTTACTGAATATATATTTGGATCAGCCACATATATCTGAATATATTCCTAGGTATCTGATTGGAGCAAACTATGACTTGAGTCCCTACAGAAAATTTCCTTCTGTGGGAATTTGAACTGCTCTTTAATCCAGTTCATGCATAGTTTTCTGCAACCTGCTTCAGTACATTTCTTCAAATTGGTATTTGACTTTTGATATTCAAGAGTGTACAATCAACTCTCTGATCCTAGAAGAATAAACTTTTAGGTAAAGTGCTTATGCATTTAGAAATACGTATTTAGGGCAGGGCGCGGTGGCTCAAGCCTGTAATCCCAGCACTTTGGGAGGCCGAGGCGGGTGGATCACGAGGTCAAGAGATCGAGACCATCCCGGCCAACATGGTGAAACCCCGTCTCTACTAAAAATACAAAAAGTTAGCTGGGCGTGGTGGTGCGTGCCTGTAATCCCAGCTACTCAGGAGGCTGAGGCAGGAGAATTGCCTGAACCCAGGAGGCGGAGGTTGCGGTGAGCCGAGATCGCGCCATTGCACTCCAGCCTGGGTAACAAGAGGGAAACCCCGCCTCAAAAAAAAAAAAAAAAAAAAAGAAATACGTATTTAGCTGGCTTCATATTTCATAAAGTTTCACAGACTGATGACCCTAAAGATGAGCTTCTTAGTCTTAATCTAAGTATATAAGAGCGATCTACTACATAAGACCAAAAGTCTATCGCATCCAATATTCTAATATATTGCTAACTTACTTTAATATATAGAATACTTTTCTATCAAAAGCTGACATTTATGATACTTTTAATGTACCTTTTGAAAATGGCAGCTGAGGCTTAGAGATTGCTTTAGTCTGCTCAGGAGGCTATAAGAAAATACTGTAGACTTGGTGGCTTAAAAAACAGAAATTTATTTTTGTGCTGTTCTTGGGGCTGGAAGGCATCATTGGGTTCTGGTGAGGGCCCTCTTCCTAGCTTGCACAGGGCCACCTTCTCGCTGTGTGGTCACATGGCCTTTCCTTGGTGAATGCTCACGGTTAAGACAGAACTCTGGAACTCTGGTATATCTTGTTCTTATAAGGACATTTATCCCTTATAAGATAAAGGGTTATCTTAGAAGGGATATATGGGGGGACCCAACCTTCATAATCTCATCTAAATGTAATTACTTCCCAAAGATCCCACCCCTAAATACCATCACATGGGGGGCTTAAGCTTCAATATATGAATTTTGGGGAGACACAAACATTTAGTCCATAACAGAGATTAAATCACTTTTCTATAGGTACTTAAATAATCCATCTACAGGGCAAATGCTGACTCCAAATACTGTTTTCTTTTCCCTAATAATTTGTCTTTGTTGCTTTTCATACATAGGTACTCAAATAATTAGTCCTTTACAAAGCAAGATGTTGCTAGTTCTCATTCATTGTCTCTGATGTATTCCTCAAAACATGAATCATCTTTTAATGATTATTTTTAATGTATGTTTATACATGTTTCTTAACTATTTTAGTGAAAGCAAACAATATAAGGTCTCTCTCTCTTTCTCTCGCTCGTTCTCGCTCTCGCTCTTTAAAGTTTCTCACAACAACAAAAGGAAAAAAAAGAAAAGAAAAAGCTGGGCTCTTGGTGCTTCTGGCAATTACATTCTAACACAAGTAGCACCCAGATTGTAATTCTGATAAGTATTTCAGTTCTTTCTTGAAAAATTAAATTCACAAAACAATTGATTATCAGTTATAAATGGCAAAAACACCATCTGGTTTTCAAAATTGGTTAAATCCATGTAGCAAAGGGGAAAATTTTGGAACCTGTAGTTGGCGAGGAGTTCTAGTCCATGAAGCAGAAAATGACGAGCTTTACTATGAGAAAGCCAGAGTAGTCATAACTTGTACTTAGCGGCTGCGGGAATTTGATACGTTCTTCACATGTTCCATATGTTAAATCGCTTGGCGAGATCTTCAGTGTGAAGGAGCTGGGGGTGGGAGAGGCGTGTGGCTAGTGGATAGACTAGAAACAGCTTAATCCTAAATTCTCTGCTCTGCTTCTTGCCATGTAGACCCAGTGCTAAAGGTGTCCCAGAACTCAGTTTCTCTACCTGGGACCTGTATGTGCAAGTTCCTTAACCTTATGGCACAGGTGGCATTTTGATGGAAATTTCTAAAGCTATTTGCATTCCTCTAGTGAGGTAAGTCATACGACATTAGCATTTCCTACAGAAATGTCCCATGTTGTTCTTTGCCAACTGGAAATTTGAGTAGGTGTTCATTTGATGTGCCAAAAGAATGAAGGGAGATGAAAACACCCCACATCTTCCAATGTCCCCATACTGTGCTCTGAGTGTGGGAGGACTGGGCCTGGCTAGATTCTCCTGGAGATTCAGCTTCATGAGGAATGTTTTCCCTTAGGAGTATAGTGCAATTCTGTTATTTAAAAAAAAAAAAAAATGTTTCTGGGCTGCTGGCGTATTTTCACCTTATGTTAAAAATGTAGCTATCCTTTGCTTATTATTCACGCATCGTAATGTGAAATGTATTCATTCACTTAACAGACATTTAGTAAGGCTTGGTGGTTAATTGCATAGGCTATTTCTGCAAGTTAGAGACTGTAATCTTAGGGCAGTTACTTAATCTTTCTAATCGTGTTTAAAAAACATAAAATGAAAGATAATAATAGTATGTACTTTGGGGATTGTTCCAAGGATTAAATGAGATTTTGCATGTAGAATGCTTAAGAAGAATTCAATGAATGCAAGAATGGTATTAATAGTAGTGGCAGATAATAATATTACTTTGTGCCAGGCTCTGTGCTAGGACTCTTGGCATAGAGGGCTTGCCTTCATAGTTTATATATCACTTTCAGCATACATATGGCCTTAAATTTTTTATTTCAATTTTGGTGGAACTCTGCTTTCTATTTGGTCTGACCCAGGTACCTCACTGTCAGAGGTAATAAGTACAGGTAGGACTTTGCAGGCTGGGCATTGTCCTGGTGCCCATGAAGGGATGGTTTCCTGCCTCCTGTAGTGCCATTCTCCTGTTGGAGCTTTCCCCACTTCTGGAGGACTGCCTGCAGTTCATGCATCGGGGCCTGTAATTACAGAGCAGAATATCCAGGGCTGTGAAGACCGTGCAGTCTCGAAATTAGTTTATGCATAATGGATAATAGGAGGCTGTTTTTAAGTGTAACTCATTTGGTGGGTTGGCAGATCATGACTTCCTTTTTGATATGTATTATTTATTTATTTTTTAGCAAGATGAGGACAGAAGGCTAGAGAAGTCATTTGGCGCAGCTCTTCTAGACTATAGCTCAGACTTAGCAATTTACATTCAGTAATCTCTTGGTCATTTAGCCACAGATAATTTGTCATGGTTTGTTTTAGCTGTTGTGATATTGATATTTATTATGCAAATTGTATTTCCTACATCTTATTGTTCTGCATTCTATGAATACTTAAATTATTATAAACCTTTACACTTAATATGGCTCGTCCTTCAATTTGATGCTTGAGCAGCGGAGGGTCAGAGCGCACACCATCTTCTAGAGGGGAAGGAAATAAGTAATTAAAGAGCAGACAAACAAGAGAGCCAGCTGCCTGGCTGAAAAGAAAGCAAAGAGAATTTCGTGGAGGGAGATTGAGTCCGGAGATGGCAAGTCGTTTCAGCAGGAGGGGCTCTCCCAGAGACACGAGAAGCTCGGAGCACCTGTTGGTCCCCAGCCTCCTTAGGAAGGGCTGGGGGCGCAGAGGAGGAGTGAGTGGGTTTGAGCCCCGAAGGAGGAACACGGCAGACCCTACTTTCACTACACTCCCTATCCCCCACTTCCACGACCCCTGCTCTTCACCTGACCGAATAGATTTTTTCCGTTGTTGTGTAATCTTAAATATCTAATATTACAAATATGTCATACATATATTCAACACATGTCTATATATCAAAACCATGGAGGAGACCCTCGATAGGCGGGGGATCCTGAGCATACCCTCCTCGATCTACCTTTCCCGAGATTCTGCTTCAAAGACACCGACTGGAAAATCTCAGAACCCGACTCTACGGCTGCTTTCTCCAACTATCCCGGAGTCTACCACTAGGCTGTTGAGCGGGCTCTCCCGCTCCGCCGGACGTGCAAAGCACGCATGCACTTCTCCCAGATTGTTTTGTCAATCCGGGGACCTGCATTCTTACTCTCCACTCCCGCACAGCCCCCGTTCCCAAAGATCTGTTCCTTCCGTGCAAGGTGAGTGACGGAAATTTGCAACGTCTGGTTCGCAGGCCAGGTGCACTCGGTGTGCGGGCCGGAGATTCTCTAGTCGTCGGTCTGATACAGCAAGTGCTATAAACATTCCTAATAAAGGTGTACTGGAAGCTAGACCCGCCCCCTGGAGCCTGAGTCCCCGCACGCCAGGCGCCCAGGAGAACATTTTCCCTGATTCGGGGGAAGCAAAACCGAATTTTAACATAAACATATTTGCATACGCCCCTCCCCTTGGCCCCGCCCCTAAGTGGCGCGGGCGCGCCGTCGCACGCCAGCGCCAGGGGGCGGAGTGGGGGAGGGGGGCGAGTCCCTCAAAGAGCCGGGTTGGGCTCGTGGCGCTGTGATTGGTCTGCCCGGACTCCGCCTCCAGCGCATGTCATTAGCATATCATTAGCTGTCCGCTTGGGCACCGGAGGCAGCCAACGCCGCCAGTCTGAGGCAGGTGCCCGACATGGCGAGTGCTGTGCTGCCGAGCGGATCCCAGTGTGCGGCGGCAGCGGCGGTGGCGGCGCCTCCCGGGCTCCGGTTCCGGCTTCTGCTGTTGCTCTTCTCCGCCGCGGCACTGATCCCAACAGGTAGGTGTGGGCACCGGCCAGATGGCCCCTAAATCTCCCAAGGCACCCCAATAGCCGTAGCCACAGAGGGGGGAAACGTTTCCATGACAACCTCCCCCCACTTCCTAAATCCGAAGCGGAGGGAGTGTGGAGAGGAAACTCAGGGCTGAGAGGGAAGGGGCTGAGGGAATCTGTGAGCCTCTTCTCCGCTGCCCGGCTGGGTGTGAGTCCCCAGGGATGGCTGCACCCACACCTTCTCTCCCCGGCTTGGCGCGGGGTGCGGAGTGGAGTGAGAATGGGGGGCCCGGAGGCTACACAGCATGGGGGAAGGGGATGGATCGAAGACACCCTCAACCCTTCCGGACCCTCCTAAACTCGCCGTTGTCCCCGTAACTTGCCGGTCGTCCTGCCTCTCAGGGCTACCCATTCGCCCCCACCTCTCCAGCGGGCCCCCCCCAGTTCTCCATCCCCGAAGCCTCCCCGTGGCTGACTCCCAGCCGCCCGCGGCGTGATTCCTCCTCGGTCCCCAGGACATCCCCAGACTTGTCTGATCTCTCCTGCCCCTTCCCCCCACGCGCTCTTGCCTTTCTCCCCTGTTCCCGAACTGCACGCCTCTCGTGTTTCCCTCCGGCGGAACGCAGCCCTCCGCCCCCTCGGCTCCGCTGCAGGTCTCCTTGGCCCGGCTCCAGGCAGGGAAAGTTCCCCGGCCCAGCCCCGCGGTGCGGGCGGCCGCTGTCGCCGCCTCTGCGGGAAGGCGCCGGGGAGCCCGCAGCCTGCCCGCCCCACAGCGTCCTCTGCCACGAGTGGGGACACGGGATTTCCCGGCTGCGCCTTCTTTCGGCGGCCCGAGGGTGGTGGAGGGGGCGTTCGCGGCCTCTGCGGCCAGGCGAACACCCTGCGGGCCTCCGCGCGCCCGGTGAGTGAAGAGCGGTCTTGGGAATTTGCCCAGGGGCGGCTCTGCACGCCGGAGCCCTCCCTGAAGAAGCCGAGCACTCGGCTGGAGCACGAAGTGTGGCTGTCCGTGTGCCGGGCGCGTTGGCGCGGTCGGGAAAGAAGAGGGCAGTGTTTGCTTTTGCTAACAAAAGGGAGCCGGAGCTCTTCCCCAGCGGAGAGGCCGGCCGTGCTGCACCCTGCCTCCCTTCCCGCCACCTCGCCGCCTTCAGCAGTAGCGCGGCGTCTCCGTGCCCCTGGCCGCCTGCTCCCGGCTACAGTAGGACGCCGGCACCGAGTAGCACCGGGCCGCCGGGGGCGGGCGGCGATGCAGGAGGGGATGCAGCAGGACTCTGCGCCTGCAAAGCCCCTCCTTGCAGCTCCAGAGCTGCAGGACCCGGGAGCAACAAGTGGCGGAGGACGCCGAGAGCTCAGCCCCCACCTGCGGAGCCCCAGGCCTGGGCGGGCACAGCGTTGGGGCCACCGTGCTGCTTCGGGGGCGGCTCTCCGCTTGGGCTGTGCCTTTTGTTTACACGCTAGAGGACACACAGTTATGTAAACACCGCAGGAGACACGCTGTAGGAGACGGGGGATGTGTGGGGTGCTAGCTAGATATTTGAGGGACGCCGGGTTGCCTGCTTGCCCCCAAAACAGGCTTGCAAAGGGGCTCGACTTGGGGAACCTATTGGGGGGAGTCTGGCAGCAGCGTCAGTTCCAGCGCTGAGGATTTTTTCTTCCATGCCACTGTCTCCGGATGTTGTTTATGTGTTTTTCCTCCGTGAATTCTTAATTTATGAGTTATGAGATAATTGGGTTCAGCCGATGCCGGTGTGGTTACAACTTCATTTCTGGTGATGCCTCTGACTGTTTGGGTTCAATAAAATGTTTCTGAAAGAGATCCCTCGTGCTGCTGCATTGTAAAAAGCGCCAGTGTCAGTTAAACGTGAGCGTGAGTAAAGGCTCGGTAACTGGCGCATAATAGAGGCAACAATAGGCTTGTATTGGCTGCAAAAAAAGGAGGGGAAAGCTATGGTCCGGGATATTGCCTTTTGACTAAAAATGGGAGTCCTGCAATGACGCTTGGCAGCAGAGTAGGATTAGATTATGCCTCCCCTGTCACGACTGCTCATTGAAGGCACCGGGTAGTAGCAACGGTACTATATTTGTAACTATCTCTCGGTGAGAAGTTGCCTTCCCTGCGATGGATATATGCTGACTTAGGAGCGGTCTGGAACTCAACCGTGCATGTCAAAGCTACATGAAAATTCTGTTGCCAGTTACCATGGAAGCAGCTTCTTGCTCTTGTGTACATCACTGTTTGTATGCTGGTTATCAGATTGTGTTCAAATTAGAAAGTAATTGGGTTTGATTTGTAGTCAGGGGGTGAGATGGCTTTCTTAATTTTTTTCTTTTAATGCATATATATGTATATATATTCATAGTGAGTTTGAGAGGAGGTCTTGGCTCATACCGGGGTCCCACACTCCAGGGGTAAATTTCAGGTGGGCACCAAGGGACTTTTCCTCCTCAGTTCTCTTAGTTTAAGCTTTCTCGGAGGCCTCCAGTTCCCACTCCCAGGATTAAAGAAACCTGTTGGTGCATCTGACTTCATTAGGCTTGTTTCATTTGCATCCTTGCTGGGAAAGCGAATTAAGACCATCGTGGGTGGGTCCTGGCTCTGTTTTCCCTTGTAACCGAAGCCATCCATCCCCGCAGAAAATCTCCTCTCATTTCTCCTGTGATGTTTGGATGAAATGGATGTTAATGAAATGCAGCAAAATGGGATTGCTTAAGCTCACTCCACAGTGTTAATCACGCCTGTTACGTTCAAGGTGCATGCATGATGTTTTCGATCCCGAGTGAACCAGTAGCTGATCACCCCCCCTTATCATTTTCAGGATTAGAGAAGATGGCTGATGGGTGGTGGGTTTATGGTGGTGATGGGAAGGAGCCTGGCTGAGTTTTGCTTGCCGTGGCTTGTTGGATCTTGCAAACCCGGGATAGGACTTTGCAAAAGTGCCGCCCTGCTATTGTTGCCTTTCCCTGCATCAAATTGAATAGCCGCAGGAGGGACTTGCACTTGTCTGTGATAGATTTGATAAAATATCCCTCATTAATGCCACTTTATATTTACAGTGTGTCACTGGAGACGCACAAGGCTTCATTTAGTGACTTGTGTGACGAGACAAGCTTGCATTATTTGCCTGGGACATTTTGGAGGAACAAGAGACCCATTGAGCAATCTTTTGAAATGAACAAATACGGAAAAAGGGGGGAATAAAAGAGCAGGCAGTTCTCCGGAACAAAGAGCTTTATTCATATGGATGTTGTACATGCTTTATCCAGTTTTCCCCAATGGCCCTCCTGGTAAAGGGGAGTGGGACAGGGAAGACGCCAATAGGCAGGACACTTTCCTCTCTCACTTCCTGACTTCATATTCTTATCGGAGTTGGTCCCCAGCTCACTGCCTGCTCATCTCTCTCCACAGTCTCTAAAATCCCAGAAGGTAACGGGTTCCTGGGTGTCAAAGAGAAATTGTGAAATCCTTGCTCTCAGCTCTGAATTAAGACAATGCTAGCTACCTGTTGAGGTTGATGTCACTGGAAGATATATTGGTTGAAGGGAAAGAGATGTCACTTTTCTATGACATGTGTCAAGAAGTAGTTGAGAGTGAATGTCAGATTGGTAAGATGTCTTGCAATTATAACATTAGTCTTACTATTTATTTTGAAAGAAATGTTGCGAAAACCAAAATCCAAAAATTTTATTCTTATTGACGGTGCTCTTGGAGTTTTTAGTGACTTTTTTCCCACACCTGGTACATTTTAGTCTCATACCTAAGTGAATTTTCATTATTCCTTGGCCTATATTGCAAAATTATTTTTTAGGCTTTAAAAATTGATAAGATTGCTATGAATATAAACTGTCTCATTCTCTTGGGGTTTCTGTATGTGATATTTTAATGTCTAATTGAAATATAAATTCACTCAATTTATATTTCAAAAAATGATTGTGTTTGCAGGTGTGTGTGTGTGTGTGTGTGCGTGCACGCGGATGTATATATATTTTTAACAAAAGGTGCATTTTAATGTGGGGAATCTCTTAAATTGGGCCAAACTAATCAGTGTTATAATTTAAATGTAAATTTACCAGCAGATGAAGAAAATTCAAAATAAATCCAAAGGATTCAACTGCTGTATGTCTTTCTTGGGAAGAATAGTACTGACCATTATGCTGGGCATTTTTAACTGAAAATCCAGCACAGAAAGGAGAAATCACACAGCGACATCTGTTGCAGAATTGAAAATTTGCTGCTTTGAGTTGGAAGCAATTAGTCCCATATAAGTACCTAATGGTATCAGTGTGTGTGTGTTTGTGTATATATAAGTACTGATACAAATACATACATATACATACTTATGTATACATATATATGCAAATTATACAAAAACTTGCTCACAATACAGTATTCATATTCACATTTTAAAGTATTTAATAGAAATATAACATTTTGGCACTAAAGCTGTTTTCAAAAATATTACCTTTTCAGGAATTAGAGATTCTTATAATCATGGAATTTTTGAGAGAGGAAAGATATTAGAAATCATCTGGTGAAATGCTATTTTGAAGTGAAGTAGCCAAGGCCAGGGAGGAAAGAATCTTACTCCGTAGTTGAACTGAGGCTAGGTTAACAACGGATCCTGGACGGGGACAGGTCCCTTGATGTCCAGCCAGTGAACCTTCTGTTCTGCCTCCTGGCAGGGATGCCTCGTCAGAGATATGGATCATGGATAGACACTATCTTGGCTAAAAATATTTTGTATTTTGAAGGCAGCAAGATTAATTGTTGCTCTAGGTAATAAACCCATGGATCACAGGAGTGACCTCTGGGAAGAAAGGACCAGTTCTTGGTAATGTTGTCTTTGGTGTTGACAAATGATCCTGAAACCTCTGGACTTTATTTGGCAGCTGCAACAGAAATGTCATCCAAAGCACCTTCATAGGGGAGAAATCTGGATTTGTTTCACTGGAATAAGTCTGACATGCAAAAACCAGGCTTCAGAAGGCTCAGGTTTAGATTTTTACGGTTT